AAAAAAATCAAACTTAAAATCAGAATTTTACAGCTGTAGTGCTAGAATTTTTTATCATTTTCACATAATTAGATGAGCAAATGATAAGTAATGATCATTTAAAATGTGTTCACCACAAAAAAGGACAACTTGTAAACATTTTAGAAGTGTTCTCCTGTGGGATTTTTTTCACAGAAAACATATTGATCAGGTTTTTATTTACTTTAAATCAGCTTTTTAACATTATAATCAGATGATTATAATATAAGGACAGTTGTATCACCCCCACTATTTTTTACTTCGTGGCCCTCTAAAAATGTCTAAATGAAATACATTTCAGAAAGCAAAAACATTTATATCATAGAAAATATATGTTCGAGTCAGTGTATGTACAAATTGAATTTTTAATGTATTTTTGAATGATGCAAACAAAAAGTAATCATGTATTCACCCATATATTAAAAATGTCATTTTAAGTATTTTTAGTTTTCTGAAGATTCTGTAGTTTTTTTTTTTTTATCTGGTCCAGAAAAAAAAAAAGCTTTTATGTACTACAAAATCCTGCTGTTGTCCTTTTCAGGACAGAAAGAAAGAAAATGTAGATTATAAATATGGTTTATTTGAAATTACAGTTCTTATTTATTAATAAAATAGAGCTCTTAAATGCTTAACTGTTTTATTGCATGAAATTACATGTTGACAAAGTGATGTCTGGAAAAGTTTAAATAGCATATGTCATTATATGATACTGATTAACGTATGACAGAAAATCATTCGTAGTTGCTGTAGTATCTAAATGGAAAGCCATTTTGGATGCCATAGATGTAACAGCAGTGAGTTCAGGAGGTCTCACACACTCCTACGTGCTTTAGGCTGACGTTCTTGTTACGATGCCTAAACAGAGAAGACCGGTTAGAAGAGGGACAAATACTGTTTGAATTGCTGTAAAAAAAAAAGTTGACTATGCCTTGTGCTTTTTTTTATAAAATATATTTTGTCCTCATAATGAAAACATGTTTACTAAACCTTGAAAGGTTTGTAAGTAATTGATTCAAAACTGACATCTGGGCTTAGCCTGAGATTTCTCACATCTGTTGCCTCCGCTTTCTCAAAATGCTGGATTTACATTGCACAAATGTTCAGTGTTACACATTGCTCACATACTTGCTCTCCCAGTGTAGCATACACTCATTGGAGTATGTGACTCCATCATCTCCACACACTGGATTGTACTCACGAGTACATCCAAAATCAGGAACATTGTTGTCCTATTATGAAGATATCAGAAAGATTCCCAAAATAAAATAAAATATGATTATCATGATCCCATTTTACTTGATTATATGCTACTGTTTTAAAAGTTTGGGGTCAGTAAATTTGATTTTTAAAGACATTAATAATTTCAAACAAGGCCACATTAAATTGATCAAAAGCGACAGTAAAAACATTTATAATGTTACAAAAGATTTCTATTTTAAAATAAATGCTAAAAAATTATAATCATCAAAGAATCCTGAAAACAATGTGACAGTCTCCATAAAAACGTTTTTAACATTAAACAAAATAATAATAAATATTTCTTGAGCACCAAATCAGCATGATTACTGAAGGAACATGTGACACTAAATACTGGCGTATTGAAACATTACTGTTTTTACTGTAGTTTTGTTCAAATAAATGCAAACTTGGTGAGTATAAAAGACGTTTCAAAAACATAAAAAATCTGAAATAGTTACTGCAACATCTGGTAACTTTAAAATGACTTTTTTTTTTACTTTAACTTACCTCGCTCTGTTGTGTTTCTGCCACTGTGGAAATAGTATTGAAAAAAATGCATATTATTATGAGAAATGAACCAGTAAAGGCACTATTTTTTCCCTGTTGAAATTCCAGACAAGACTTAGATAAAAAAAGAAAAAAGTGGCTAAGCAAGTTTTGTACTTTCTGTTCAACCTATTGTATGTTTCTTTTTAATAGCAGGTACTTTACGTATTTGTGCTCCCTTTCTTTTTTCTCTCTCCCTTTTGTTATAATCTTTGTCATTTAAAAAAAACAAACAATTAACTTCCTTGAGTTTAATGTTCTTGAGTGTATTTGCATAGATTAAAGGGATATATTTTCCTACAATACTTCAAAATAGGTTGTGGTCAGAGAATCAGGCTTGATAAAGGATAACTAACCCTATATCAACAATTCATCTTTTGGATTCTGGCTTGCTTCTGTCCATATTTTCTCTTTTTTTGAAAACGCCAAAAAGTCTGGCCCACTAAGCAGTATCCCAGTTCTCATCAGTGTCATATGTCAGCTATCATGGATCTCTACAACATGGACCCATTCCAAAATATCACAAAATGGGTCCGTCTGGGTCAGTGAATAATGGCTCTAAAGAACAAAAGTTTCATCTTGTGAGCTGTAACCTTATCATGTGTGGATTGTGTGGAGCAAACAATGATGTAAAAGTCACCATCTATATGTTAAAGAAACATTGTGTATCTCAAACATGACACTTATTATTATGACACATCAGTGTCACATGATGTATTTTAAAGAACAGTAGTAGCCTGAGGTAGGTATAAATCTGGATTTGGTTTTAATTAAGATAATTATTACACAATATTCACACTTGATTGTATTTATGTACCTTAAAATGCCAATTTTGATACTTACCAGAGAGGTAAAAGAGAACAGAAATGCAGATCAGGATAGCAAACTTCATGGTCACTGTCGTCGTGTGAGTTGAGAGTGGGAAATTCAGCAGGTGTATCTTTGTATCCGGGGCTCTGTAGTTATATAGCTTTTGAAATTACCAACACTCCTCCCTCCCTCTCATTGTTTCTGCCTACCCAGAAAGAACCTGACGGGTGACATTCATGCAATGGTCCACAAACAATGACTAAGGGCATTTGGGACTAAGGTCATTTGTTTGTGGTTTTTAGATTAGAGAAGTCTTCGTCAACAAAGTGCATCCTAAAGAAACTGCTTCTGCTTCTTACTACTTATCCTGACTTTTTAATAAATAGAAATAGCAACAGAAAGCCGTACTTACAAGCATAAAGTCCCTTTTGTCCATGAGAAGAGCAAAGCTGAATAATCAGAGGTCTAAATAAAGACCTCTTTTTACAAACATGACGTCTAACTTCATTAAAATGCAAAATGTTTGTTGCAAAAAAATGATGGCTCGTTACCTATAATTGTTTTCATAGTCAGTAAATGCCTCGTTTTCAAAATCTGCATGGGCTTCACATATGCAGTAATTGCTCATTTGCTTTATTTTGCGAATGGCCTCCTATCAGTTTGGGATGCTTTTGTTTTTCTGAATGGGGTTTTTGTAGTGAGCTGTGGTAAGTAAAAAAAACAAGACTAGAAAAAAACCCACAAAACTTTTATTCAGCAAAGATGCATTAAATTGATGAAAAATGACAGTAGAGACATTTATAATAAATATATAGTAATTGCTGTTCTTTTCAAACGTATATTCATCAAATAACCTTAAAAAATATTAGAACAAATATTAAGCATCACAACTCAACACTGATAATAAGAAGAAATGTTTCTTGAGGGCCAACTTAGAATGATTTCTGAAGAATAATTTGACACTGAAGACTGCAGTAATAAGTGCTAAAAATCAGCTTTGCCATCACAGGAATACATTTTAAAATATATTTAAATAGAAAAGTTTTTTTTTTAAATAAACATTTATAAATATATTGCAATACTACTGTTTTAAATTTTTTACTGGCTTCACATATACAGTCATAACTAAATTGCTTTATTTGGTTGATGGCCTCCTATCAGTTTGGGATGCTTTTGTCTTCTGAATGTTGTTTTTATAGTAAGTTATGATAAGTAAATCTTATGTTGTCCATCTTGTCATGAAACATTCCATCAAGAGATTAGGTAATAATTCATCAGTTTGATGAGTAGTCAAACAGAACTAAAATATGATTAAGAGGGACATTGAATTGAATTGAACGCCTTTATTGTCATTGTATTTTTCTGTATACAACGAAAATCAGGAGCACTACTCCTGACTGGTGTTAGAAAAACAAACATATAACCACAGACAATAAATACTATAAGACTGTACAGTACAATTTTACAAGTAAATACAACAAGTGACTGAGTCCTGGTATTCACAATCGAGTAAAGTGACCATTTATAGTATTGCACGTTGGCCTTCACCTTGATATGCACAGTAAGTTTATACAAAAGTACAATTTAAATGGAATGAGTAACTGCGGTGATTTAGTGACTAGATTTCACATTGACATATAGTGTATATTATTGCACATATTATTGCACCTTTACTGCAGATATAGTGTTCGACATGTGCAATAACTTGATTGAGAAAAATCTTTAAAGAGGTATTTCATTCAAAATCATTTAGTCTATTCACCCTTATGTTGTCCTAAACCGTTATGACTGCCTTCTCTTTGAAGACCATTATGAGTAACCATTATTATTTGAATGGAATCTTTTGTTCCATACAAGAAAGCGAATGATGACCGAGAATGTCATTCTGTCTTAAAATCACGTTTTGTGTTCTGGAAGAAAGACAGCCATACAGGGTTGAAAAATCATGAGGGTGAGCACACGACGACTAAATGTACTTTTCTGTTGAACTATGCTATGCCGTTACATTATTAGCAGGATCTCACTAGGTGGCATCAGTGAACCATGAAGCGCAGGCCGCGCAGTCATCTGTGCGAACTATTTATATGGTGACAGATATTCAAATATAAAAGAAATCCTGTGAGGAAATATCCCACAAATTGCTCTAATAAGATGACATAAATGTAAGACCGTGACAGTTCAGTCGTGTATTAATATTATGGTATGCACACCACATTTGTACTAATTTCGGATTCATAGTCCTTGAGTATAAATATATAACCTTAATTTAAAAGAATATAAGTAGGGCACTACTTCCCCAAATTCCCCTGCGCGTTCCCGCAGCCCCACTGACGTCACGCGCGAACCCCTCCCCTGCCCGCGGCGGCGCGCTTTAGCGCGGTCTCGCTGCTCTCTTCAGATCAGCAGAATCTGTTCAGCTCGAGACGGACAAGATGGCGAAGTGAGTGGGTTGCGCTTTGAACAGAAAGCAGCGACTCACACAATTCCTTCAACGTTAAAACGTCGGTTGCCTTGATGTACGGTCGAATAGGCTGGAAAGCGCGTCTTTAAGAAGAAAAGTCGCCCCTCAAAGCGAGGTGATTTGAAGAGAGCGTCGAGGACACCGACTCCTCCGTGTCCTTTCAGGCTAAGCTGCTAGTCAGCTATTCTGGGAATTGCTCGAGAAAAAACAGCCTCAACCTCAGGGGAAATAGTGTTTTACTTAACTGTCGAGACAATTAATCTCCTCTTGAAACCAATGTCCGTTATCACCTCAATTTCGTCGTTGTGAGTTGTTAAGGACACGGCTAGTGAGAAAGACTCGCTTAGGCTAGCTAGCGTTGTTTCTACTGGACGGAAGAAGAGAGAGGGCAGCCTGAAAACCTCACCCGTTCACACAGTTTCAGAGGACTTCTCGGATTTTAGGACATGGCCAGCAGCAGTGGCTCTAAAGCCGAGTTCATAGTCGGTGGGAAATACAAGCTCGTTCGGAAAATCGGATCTGGATCCTTTGGTGACATTTATTTGGCAATCAACATCACAAATGGAGAGGTAAAGATGAAATGGATGTTTAATTAATGTGGTGAATGACTGGGCTAAGAAGATTGAGGGGTTTATACATAGGTCCAGCTCATCACATCTGATGACCAGGACACAATTCATATGGTCATCGAAAAAATATAGTTCACGCAGCCTTGAAAGGTTACCATATTGTAATATTTGGATGACTTAAATGTGTTACTATTTGGGGGAGATAAAGCAGCGATGTTAATGCAGATTTGAACAGGTCCAGATGTTTTCCCCGAAGAGTAAAGGATCTTGTACTCTCAAATATTAAACCAATATTCAGTGTCTTGTAAACGATCTATATGTAAGCTAGCAGATAAATGATGGTCTTAATTTTGAATATTTTCAGGAGGTAGCTGTGAAATTGGAATCACAGAAAGCCAGACACCCTCAACTTCTGTATGAAAGCAAGTTGTACAAAATTCTCCAGGGAGGAGTCGGAATCCCACACATCAGGTGAGTAACGTTACAGATGTCTGATTATTATACGGGAAATTATAATGGATTTTGATTAGATGGGGTAACGTTAGCTGGACTCGTTTGATCTGGATTATAGACTAGCGTGAGATCGAAAGCAACAGGTCGAGTACAAAGTACACGCCAACTACGCGTAATATTTCTCTTAAAAGGTCATCTATTTATTATATACATGTATGAGATTGGGATGGTCTAATATATATATGATTTTACAGGCGGCGCGCTTTAGCGCGGTCTCGCTGCTCTCTTCAGATCAGCAGAATCTGTTCAGCTCGAGACGGACAAGATGGCGAAGTGAGTGGGTTGCGCTTTGAACAGAAAGCAGCGACTCACACAATTCCTTCAACGTTAAAACGTCGGTTGCCTTGATGTACGGTCGAATAGGCTGGAAAGCGCGTCTTTAAGAAGAAAAGTCGCCCCTCAAAGCGAGGTGATTTGAAGAGAGCGTCGAGGACACCGACTCCTCCGTGTCCTTTCAGGCTAAGCTGCTAGTCGGCTATTCTGGGAATTGCTCGAGAAAAAACAGCCTCAGGGGAAATAGTGTTTTACTTAACTGTCGAGACAATTAATCTCCTCTTGAAACCAATGTCCGTTATCACCTCAATTTCGTCGTTGTGAGTTGGTAAGGACACGGCTAGTGAGAAAGACTCGCTTAGGCTAGCTAGCGTTGTTTCTACTGGACGGAAGAAGAGAGAGGGCAGCCTGAAAACCTCACCCGTTCACACAGTTTCAGAGTACTTCTCGGATTTTAGGACATGGCCAGCAGCAGTGGCTCTAAAGCCGAGTTCATAGTCGGTGGGAAATACAAGCTCGTTCGGAAAATCGGATCTGGATCCTTTGGTGACATTTATTTGGCAATCAACATCACAAATGGAGAGGTAAAGATGAAATGGATGTTTAATTTATGTGGTGAATGACTGGGCTAAGAAGATTGAGGGGTTTATACATAGGTCCAGCTCATCACATCTGATGACCAGGACACAATTCATATGGTCATCGAAAAAATATAGTTCACGCAGCCTTGAAAGGTTACCATATTGTAATATTTGGATGACTTAAATGTGTTACTATTTGGGGGAGATAAAGCAGCGATGTTAATGCAGATTTGAACAGGTCCAGATGTTTTCCCCGAAGAGTAAAGGATCTTGTACTCTCAAATATTAAACCAATATTCAGTGTCTTGTAAACGATCTATATGTAAGCTAGCAGATAAATGATGGTCTTAATTTTGAATATTTTCAGGAGGTAGCTGTGAAATTGGAATCACAGAAAGCCAGACACCCTCAACTTCTGTATGAAAGCAAGTTGTACAAAATTCTCCAGGGAGGAGTCGGAATCCCACACATCAGGTGAGTAACGTTACAGATGTCTGATTATTATACGGGAAATTATAATGGATTTTGATTAGATGGGGTAACGTTAGCTGGACTCGTTTGATCTGGATTATAGACTAGCGTGAGATCGAAAGCAACGGGTCGAGTACAAAGTACACGCCAACTACGCGTAATATTTCTCTTAAAAGGTCATCTATTTATTATATACATGTATGAGATTGGGATGGTCTAATATATATATGATTTTACACTTATGATAGTGTCGACAGGCTAACTAGCCCGTTCGTTAGCGTTTCTATGAGCCGCGCGAATGAGCAGCGTTTTTAAATGTCTTTAAACACGTTACGTGTTCTCTGTGATATAGTATAAGGTACTTTAATTAATTAGTTTTGATCACGAAGTGTGTGTTTGTGCGTTGCTGAGTAATGAGTAAGGAGCGAGTGGGAAATGGCCGCTGCTCTTTTGTTGTGTTTGTTCAACATGTCCTCCCTCTCGATCAGAAAATGGCGGATGAGGGAAAACAAGTTTCAGGGCCTGGTGAGACTGCTGCTCTCTTCTCAAGGTGACTGAGCCATACGAGCGCTGCTATTCGTGTCAAAATAGTCGTTTGTTTTATAATATAATCTGTAATTGTATACAAGAGCTAACCATTGACAAGGAAGCTTTCAATAACTGATTCTATATGCACATTTAAATAAAACGCAGTCCCTGTTTTGGTTTCGCAAGGAAAAGGTAGAGGTTGTCACGTATGTTTTTTGATTTGCATGTTATCATTGAATGTACGTTTTACATTCTAATTGCAGAAGTGGTCTACTGGTTAAATTAGTGTAAAGATTTGTATTTGCTATTTCCTCATGCTGATATGTTTGTACTTTCTTTAAAAAATAGTTATTGATGATGTGGAGTACATACCAGTTTTAACCCTTATCCTGGGATATTGATTTGCCTGGGCTGGTATATGACTTTGTGTGAAAACCTAAACCATTTTTATCTAAAAGTTACATTGTAGTTTGATGTTAGAAGGTTGCAACCCCAAACGGTTACATGCTATATTCATAGCAGAAATTGTGAAATTAAAAATAAAAGCAATATTTCAAATATTTTCAAGTTTAATTAACCTGACGATGTGATAAGCCTTTATCTGCTTTCAGAGTTTAAAAAAAATGTTATGTATGAACCTCCACTCTTGGCTGTTTCTACCTGAAATACTGTGGTAACTGTATATTAAAAATTTACTTTACTGCGGATTTCAAATCGATAAGAGATAGCAGCTTGGTTTATTAAAAAAAAAATTGACGTATAATTCAGTTTCCCACAGGTCCAAAATAGGGCTGCACGATAAATCGCATGCGATATTTAATGTGCATCTTGTTAGTAAAGCCGGTTTTGTAAATCTCCATCACGTGCATGCTTTCACATGGAGCAGCATTTACTACACAGAGCCGTTGTTCACTGACGAGCTGCGCTAAACCAAAATATGCTTGTGGTGGACTGTGGAAAAGGCTGGCACTATATCCTGGCACAAAAATGGTCTAGCTACTACTACATGTGGCAGACAACAAATAAAGTGATCTTTAACACTATTTTGATTTAGTGAAAATGATTAAAAGTTGTTTCTATTAATATATGTTTACATTTAATTTATTTAGCAATGAGTCGCATGACCAACTTGTGCTTAACCTGCATAGGGAAATGTTATGTCCTTGCGTGAGATTCCAGATTGCTTGTATTTCAGTTGAAATGACTGGAATTTGCCTGCAAAATTTCACCAGACAGTGGTAAATGTGACCGCACCTAATTTCATCCAACATTTCAAACCATATTGCTTGCTCTATACGGTTTCTTTTCCTAAAGTCGCCATAAATGTTTTTTTAGCCATGATTTTTATTGCTCATTATTTGCTAATTTCATTGTAGTCTGTAATATATCATTTAGTAAACTAATCCAGCTATTAGAAGGTTTTCCTAGGTAATATTAGTATAAATACAAAGGCCCTGCCTTTGCCATCAATTAACTGCCTTTGAAGATAGCATTAGGGTGTCCACTTCTATGGCATCTCATGCTGACGGCAGCTTGGCTGATTAGAAATCTGAACTCTTAGACCTTAGCTAGTTATTTAACCCTGTGCAGTTAAGAGTTGGGTAACTCCTGTCATGGATGGATGGATTTACCAAACACTTTAAGGACAAGACCAGATGCAGCCTTTAGTTATAACTAAAAGAATATCATATTAAACTCCTTTCTAGTTTAACTCTACTGCTTTTAAGCTATGTGTAATTTAGGTTCTACACAATGACTGGATTGAATGCAGAAAAAACATGTTATTGACTACCTACTTAACTACTTTTTTTTTGGTGAAAAAAATGGTTGTGAATTCCTCATAATTGTGCGCCACTTTGGCTTGAACTTGTTTTTGGTGAATGAATTGAAGTTTCCAGTAGAAAGGATGCCTAAAAGTAATGGTTTCAGTTGCTGGTACTAGAGCTGGGAAAACCTGCCATACAAGATCTCCCTCCCCCACACTCCCTAAAACCACTCACTGTCTTTGCTAATGAAAGAAAAGAGCGTTGTGTGCTCTTCAAAGTCTTTTATGTAAGCTCAATCACAGGAAATTGTCTACTTGCGTTATTTAAAAATGTGTATACTTTTACACCAACACCTCTGTCACTAAATACAAGGCAGTTTATTAAAGTTAACATGTTCAGGCAAACTACACCGTTTTGTTCAGCGTTCCCCTTAGTTTTGCTTTGAAAAGAGGAAATGAGTGTCCCACAGAGAGGCCTGTAGTTTCCGTAAGCAAGAGATTGCTGTTGATATGAACTAATGTAAGCATTGTGTATGCGAGCATACTTGTAAAACGTGAGTTGTTGTATTTTTTATTTATTTTTTGTTAAATTCATAGTAGGCCTATACATTTACATTAGTTTTGGTTTAAACTTAAGGGGAAATGTTCAAAACTTTGACGACTCATTATATCTGCTGGTGTTTTTTTTATTCTAGGATGTCGCTAATTAGGCTTGCTGCGATAGACGGTGATACCGGTGTTAAGCCGCAACGGCGGTTGTGTCACTTGCCCACTGCGGCACCAACCCCCACCGTCGTTTTGATTTTTTATAGTAATAAAAATAATTTAGTTCAGTAAAAGAACAGACACTACAATTAAAAACTGAATGCTCAATGCAGCGTGCCGAACGACAGTCGCATCACAGATCAGATTTCATTTATCCAGTGAGGAGAGTGAGTCGAGCTGACTGACAAGAAGAGTGAGGTGAGACAGACAAGACGATGGCGAATGATTTAGTTTCGAAACGAGATGCAAAAGCGCCTGTTCGGCAATATTTTGAAAAGCCTGTTGTCTTTTGCCGTTTATCAAAGGTGATTTTAGAAGTTTTTTTAAACATTTGTTTCTTATTTAATTGGTTCCACATTGTGTGCTGATTTTTACTTTATTTAAACTCTTTTATTATAATTTTTTTTATATCAAGGTGTATGCCGTGCCTCCAAGCTTAGTCGTTTTGCTAATAAACGTTCTAAGTTTCTTATTTATTTGGTTATATATTATACATGTTTACTTAGCCTATTTCCAGTTTTGTATAGGCCTACCTATTTAAACTTTATGTAAGTTATCTGTTATTTTATATTAGGCATAGCCTGCCCTATAGCATGGTGTATTTTTATTTGTTTTGTTAATAAAAGTTCTATGTTTTATATATAGGCTAAAGTGAGTTTGATGTATTTTGTTGTTGCAAAAAACGAACAATTGCTTTATGCAGAATTGCCGCTATTTGAAAGTGAAAGTAAAATGCGCACGCAGCTTTCACAAGCTATTTAAAAGCGAGGAAAAGAGGGAATGCCCCCGCCCCACGGTGATTACCTGTATTACCGTTGTTGTCACTCGTCGATTAACCGGTGGGAAAATTTCCTCACCGTCACAACCCTATCGCTAACAGGGGTGTGCGATATTGACAAATTATATCTCGATACTTTCTGGAATTTTATCGATAACAATAATTAGACTATATTTTGCAGAGTGTGTTATTGTGCTGGTACCTTAAGGACTGCCGTGGACAGCTGACTCCTAAATATTTAGATTTTCTTCATATTCTGTGTGGTGGTCAGTTCACACTGATAGAAATTCTGCTGAAAGATAGAAAGATGCTGTCTACACAATAGATATACAGTATATACATCTATGGTCTACACTAGATGCGGCGCAGCACAACAAATCCCTGACAGAAAACTGCTGCTGCATTTTATGTCGTATTGACTAGGGATGCACGATATATCGGCCACTATCGGTATCGGCCGATAAATGCTATTTTTTTCTGTTATCGGTATCGGCCCAATAAGAAAATTTGGCCGATATCTTAAAGCCGATAAATAATGCATTATTTCCTTCAGAGACACTTCAGATGCGCGCTGTTCGTTTGCAGCCTTTTGTGCAATTGTACGTTGTAATATTGTGTTTATTTGATGTATATCTGATTTATCTCATATAGAATGCGTTTGGTTAAGTTAAAAGAGCGCTTCAGTTTACCGGTGATAAACTCAAACAGCAGTGCACAACATTAACTATGATTGGGAATGTCGTGTATATAACATTCTAATGAGAAAATTATTATAATAAAACGTAAGCTGCCAGCAAAACGCTTCAGTTTACCGTATTCATTCAGCTCTTCAGCTTCAGCACGCGCAGCTCAAACGGCTGCTATTTAAAACAGTGGTATTAATTTGTTACTTTTTCAAAATCATTGATACATTATTAATAATAACAACCACTTGTATTTTTCTATTATTATTTTCATCAGCAATATGGTTTAGTAATAAAATCATTTAATTATTGTCCGTTTAGAGGCTATTCCGTTTTATTGATCTATGGCGCATTCATTTTGATTCTTTACACGTGTAATGATGTCCAATGACTTGTTTGCATTTTTTATGCATTATTTTATTTGTAAGACTTTTTTATGACTAAATTTGGTAATGGGAGAGTAAAATTATTTTTAAAACATACATCGTTCAAACTAGGCTGCTTATGTTGAAGTGTTCGGGATGTGGTTTTTAATGATGAGACCTTTTTTGTAATCAGGCTCTCAAAAAGTATATAAAAATTTGGATATAGATTTATCGGCCAACATATTGGTTATCGGCTTTCAAAAATAAAGGATTATCGGTATCGGCCAAAATTTTCATATCGGTGCATCCCTAGTATTGACACAAATTTCTAATTATTTTTAACGGTCGCTTTGTCTCGTCCAGTGAACTAGACAGACTTTAGCTGTTGCGGCGCAGACACGGTGTTACTCATTTATCGAGAAGAAACAAAGCGACCTTGGCGTCTGATCGCACGCCTTCCGCTCCTTGATTTCTCTCCAGTGCTGGAAAGCTGATCCGATATTTACACGGGTCCTACTTGCCTTAAACCTTCTTTTGTTCCGCAGACATTTTTGAAAAATCGCTTACCCCACCTTTAATCTGCAATTACAAATGCATGAATAATGTTTTGATATATTAAACATAAAACGTTGAATACTGTTATTCGAAATTATCTAAATAATAAAAAGAAACTTTAAATGTGAAATGAAAATTGCCGGCAGGTGGCAGCAAGTCACTGTTAATAAGTGAGTCATTGCGATTGAACCGAATCATTTAAAGGGTTGATTCATTCAGGAACGACACACCGTCATGTTGCTCGGAGAGGCAAAACAGCGTTGAGGCAGTGTTTGGAATTATTTTTGTTGTCAGAATAGAGCAAAATCAGGCAATATGGTGTCTAAAACGCAAGTCTCTTAATTAACTAGTTTTTTTTAACTGTTGTAAAAAAAAATCAATATTACATTTGTAATCATGGTAATTTTTGGAGGAAAAAACGGCACTCTCTGTGTGATATTGACTAACTATGAAATTATATAAATTTTCTGTCCAGTATCTTGAGTTTTGTGATCATTCTAAATGCATTTTATTAGACTGAATCATGCAGTGAAAGAAGAAGAACGGTCTCTAAATGCGCACTCGCAGACTTCAGGTAATGTATGCGTGCGTGCACTCTGTAGGGGTGTTTTGAAAGGTTTTTGCAAAATATTCGATAATGTAAAATCGCACTTTGTTAAAATGATTACGATATTATCGCAGATTATATATGTTCCGCACACTCCTAGTCGCCAAGACTTACACAATTGTGAATATACATGAAAAGGCCTAAAAAGGAATATCCACAAAAGAGTTATTATTTTTTTATATCAGCTTTTGGAATGGATGTGATTGCTTCTGCAATATGACCATCACAAGGATTAGGAGCCAGTTTGTGGTTCAAAGTACATTTTCTTTTGTCATTGTGAAATGGTAGATGTTGGTTTGCTGGCACACATGACTGAACGAACTCTAGGCTGCTGCTGCTGCACCTTGTGTCTCCACAATGCCTCTTTGTTTAGGAGACTCTCTAGCATGATGGTTGCTTGGTGAGTGCTTTAGCAATGTGTTCACTAAATGTGCAACTCTTTTGAACCTCCACCTGCTAAGTTGTGTATCTGAGTCCTTGTTGTCAAAGTTGCAAAATTTGTAAGAGCCACTTAGTTGATTTTGTACATACCATAAACAATTTAGCACTGTCCCCATATTCTACTTTTTTTTGTCCTGAAGGGGGTCAACCACTCTGGAAGAGTGTGTCTAAAGTGGTTGGTCAAAGACTAGTCTAACACAGGTTATATAGTTGTTACTGCTGACTATAAACGCAGCCATGTCACCAAGCTGGATATATTGGATGCCATTGCCGGCAGGGTGTGCCTTGTAACTCCGACACTTCCTTAAATGATAAGATTCATGCTTTTTAATGGCTCAATATAACTTAGTCAGCTATGCCCAATTTTAATAGTGTTTTAATTGTAATTTGCTTGTGCTAAAATCTCATCTTGTAAACTTGAGCAAAGTGTCATGCATCACTGAATTGATTTAAAGGATCTGCTCTTTTTGAGGGAAGCACAGCTTTCATCGTTTTCATGCTTTTCTAATAATTGTCAGGCAGTCTTGAGTTTTCATCTGTTGGTGTTCATCAATCATGTGATGCTGTTTTTCAGGTGGTATGGCCAAGAAAAGGACTATAATGTTCTAGTGATGGACCTGCTGGGGCCAAGTCTGGAGGATCTCTTTAACTTCTGTTCCCGCAGATTCACAATGAAAACTGTCCTAATGCTTGCAGATCAGGTAATGAATGGTTAATTCAGGCTTGTAATAGCAAACATTGGATGGTCTTGTGGCACTATCTTAACCTGGTTGTTTTGCTTCCACAGATGATCAGCAGAATCGAGTATGTGCATACAAAAAATTTCATCCACAGAGATATCAAGCCAGACAACTTTTTAATGGGTATTGGCCGTCACTGTAATAAGGTAAACTCTCACTATTTCTTTATTTACGTGAGAGACAGTCAAGATTTAAATATTTGACAGATTTAAAAGTGACATGGAGGATTGACTGAATAAAACTGCAGATCACTAAGGGTTCCTGTTACATTGAGATTCACATGGAAGAACACTGGCTTGAGAGCCTGTGATTGTTACGTTTGATGTCGCTCTGCTGATTTGAGATAGCTGGGTTCGACAAAGATTATTTGGTGGGAAATCATAGGAGCAGATAATTAAAACCGCATTGAGTCCTTAGACACAATGTTTACAGCTTAACTTGTCAATGGGTTGAGAATCACCTCACGGTTGGGCTGTGGACATCTGTGGACATGGATTATATGTCTTTCACTCCTCAAATGGAACTTGTGCATGATATGTGACTTGTGGTTGTTTTTATTTTTTTATTTCTCCCTTCGACAAAGAGCCTTTGAAGTGCTTTGCACCGTTTTATTTCTCTATTCAAATGTACAGAAGTTGCCTGATTTGTATTTTGTTTTGGATAACTCGTAATTTTGAGCCCTTGCAGACAGGCAACATTTGGCAAAGTTAAAGCATCATGTGCAAAATAATACAATGACTTACAAGTACAAGCTCTGATGGTCGTCTAACAGTTCAGATTAGTTTCCACTACAAATTCTGGTACTTTTTAGTACTTCAGTGAAGCCTGTATTACCATTTTTGGCAGTGCTGTCTGGAATAAATGTTTACCATTGTGTGTCTGTGTGAATGCCAGCCTCAAGCTTTTATTTTGATACACATGAAATTGTCACTTTTTTCACTAAAACTCTGGATGCACACGCTCTGCTTTGGATGTGTAGCTGTCGACATCCACCCTGGAAAAACAATTGTAGTTAAGAATGCAGTGAACTCAGCTGACGGGAAGATCTGATTTAGCTATTGCTTCGCAAATGCACTCTCTTTTGGTGAGGAATCAAAAGGCCTGTTCTTTTGCATTATTCACTGCTCTCTGCTTACATCTCTCATACGATCATTAACACTCTTGATCCAGCCCCCAGTAAAACTTTTTTCAAGATTAACAATCTTAACTTGGTGAAAAAGTAAAAGCATGTGGACATCTTGACCAAGAATGGTGCAGGCCAACAGGTGAGATCAGTTCCACACGAGAGGGTCTTAAAATGGAATTGTTTGAGAGGCAATTGCTAATGCTTCATGTAGTGATATTTTCCTAGAGTTACTTAGAAAGATGAGGTCCAAACATTCCTTTATTTAAAAGAACTACGTTTGCAGCGTACTTTAAGTCTGACATATTCTCCTCACACAGTCCCCCACTCTCGTGTCACATTGCGGATAACCGTACTCAGCTCCGCACCATTGTTAACTAATGGCTTGTTTTGTTGCTTTACCCTGGGCTGCTGTATTGAAATCTCCAATGTCACTTCCACCGAAGCTGTCCCATCTTGTCTTTTGTAACTAAACTGTTTTTGCAATAACATGCAGGTTAAGTCATGCACCTCTTAAAACTGCACGCTTTTTTTAATGTTTTGTTCTTCAGAGCTTCATCCCTACCTGATTTGGCCTCTCCACGCCAAAGTTTTCTAGCCTCTTCCTTACTGTAGGTGGTCCAATGATCTGTCAAACACGAAATGCAATATTTATCAATCACAGGACTTTTAAAGGGGTGGGGCTGAGTTTTGGTTTGTTGCATTTCTCAAAGTTTCTCATGCCTAATTTTAAAACAAGTGCCCATTGTAGTGAATGGCCATTAAAGTTTGCTCTTCTTAACCCTAGTTGTGCCATTTGTCTCATTCGCTTCATGCTGAGGTGGGCTTAGGTGTTAAATGCCATATGGCACAGCTAGTGTTAAATGCTGTTAAATAGTGTTATACGAATGTTTATGGATAAAGCCTTGGCAAAGTCAAAAAAGAGAATCAGGCTTGGGAACAATTGGTATAAATGAGATGAAGATCACTGGGTTGGGCGGCCAGAGGTGCCATGTACAGTTTGCCTCTATGGCTCGAAAACCGATGAGGCAAACGGGCCCTGCATTATATAGTCTGAAAAAACAACTATCGGCTAGTATCTGAGCCTGGGCTTATGGGAAGTCGTCTGCCATTAGCAGAGCCTCCTCTGAGTTTAAGCTAGGACGCTTGCTGGTAGATAAAGGATTGCCTTAGGCTTTCTCTTCCCCTCCCTCTGCTCCTCCTCGCGTTCTTTTTCTGAGCCTTGGTGTTGCCTGTCTGCGCTGGCCTTGTGCGGTTGTCAGCAATACTTTTGATGCACTGCACCCTCTATTGTCTGTTCAGTGTTTAGAATCTCCAGTGGGGAAGAGGAAAAGAAGCTTGGCTGTTAGTTCTTCTCAAGACCCATCTTTCTCAGGATTAAACCAGGTCTGAAACCACAACCACCTCCTAATAATCGGCCAAAATTCTTTTGATTTGGTTTAGTTTTTTTTGCCTATTGAAATTCTTCTTCCTATTTAATTTAGATTTTCAACAATAACCATTAACGTTTGTTGGCATTAAACCAGACACACATGCTAAACAGAACTAGAGATTTAACTCCTAATCCAGATTGAAGGGATCTCTGTACAGGCGGGTGAAGGACTTGTCACTTCGGGAAGAAGTAGCTGATTGTTCTCAGTCCTAAGTCAGTTCTAAAATTATTCTTTCATCACATGATTCTTTTTTTTTTTTTTGTAAATTTTTTTTAAAACTTTACTTTCAAAGCTAGAATTGGCATATTTGGTGTAAGGGAATTAACGTTTCTATTTAAAGAGTTGTTGCTGATAGATAAAGCCCAGTGCTATTTGTAATCAAGGACTTTGTGACGGAATAATTTGATTGGCCAAGTTTCACTGCATTGGGTGCTTGTTCTTGTTACAGAATGCATCTTTCAGTTTATCAGCAGCACTTTTTGGTACCGAAGCTTGTCTTCCTGAACTGGCCAACATTGGAACATGCTGTCAGAATGTTGCTAGCCTGCAACCAAATTGCACAAGCCACGTGAAAATTGTGGCCTGATATTAACAGGGTTGAACTTTTGAACACTGGTCTTCAAAAATTATTGCATGTTCTTGTACTCTTGAGATATGTGCTCATCTTTATTTAAATGTTCAGTTTAGCTTAGGGCTGGACAATATGGCCAAAATTTATATCACAATATATTTCTTAATTTCGGTCGATAATCGAAATCGTCATAAAATCGCGATTTGAGCACGTGCGATTTCTAAATAGCTTTATAGCACGATTTTTCCATGTCCCCGACCTCCCGCAGTATGCTTTCCGTGAACTTGGTGCAACAAATCTAGTTCAACATCTGAGGCAATGCCACAAAGAGCTCTATGACCAATGCATGGCAAAAAAAATCCCTGGACACGGGATTTTGTTTTTCTGCCATATGTCTATTCTAGAGACATTTTGTTACACCTTTACTTAGTGATTATTTTGCCTTATGTCTGTTCTAGAGACATGTTACAGCTTTTTGATAAAGCTCTAATTGGTTTTCTTTTGGAAATGTTTCAGATTCACACTGAATACATTAATGACTGTAAAGCATGTCTGTGTGTCTCAAAATCGTCATTAAAATCGAAATCGCAAAATTGATCAAAGAAATCGCGATAGTTTTTTTTTTGTCCATATCGCACAGCCCTAGTCGATACGATATAATTCGATATCGATATGAACACTATTTTTTTTAAAAAGGCCTCATAAAAACTTCCGAGAACACCCACAACAGATGTCTGTACCTAAAAACTTCTGAAAAATGAATTTTCCAAGTCTATGAAACCTCCTCCTATAAAACTATATTAAGAAAAAACGGCACAAATAAATTAATGTTTACCTTATATCAAACTATAGGCTGACATACACTACCAGTCAAAAGTTTTTGAACGGTAAGATTTTTAATGTTTTTTAAAGAAGTCTCTTCTGCTCACCAAGCCTGCATTTATTTGATCCAAAATACAGCAAAAACAGTAAAATTTTTATTTTATAACATTGTTTTCTGTTTGAAAATATTTTAAATTGTGATTTATTGTCTTTCTATTTATCAAAGAATCCTGAATAAAAATATTCTCAACTGTTTTAAATATTGATAATCAGCAAATAAGCATATTAGAATGATTTCTGAAGGATCATGTGACACTGAAGACTGGAGTAATGATGCTGAAAATTTACCTATGTGAAGATTTAAAATAACTGCTTTCAAATAGAAAGCAGTTATTTTAAATAGTAAAAATAATTCATAATGTTACTGTTTTTGGTGTACTTTGGATCAAATAAATGCAGCCTTGGTGAGCAGAAGAGAATTATATATATAAAAAAAAACAAATCTTTGTTCGAAAACTTTAGACTCGTAGTGTAGGCTGCTTATACTTATAGATTGAAACAAATGCGCTTCAGGCAGGATAAAGAATATGAAAAGTGCTCTGAGTTGCTGCAGAAAACAAAAATTGAGCAAAAACATGTTGCTAGAGATGGGCTTATTGAAAATGCAAATTCATTCTCTGCCAGCAGGAGGTGCTTTTAGAGTGATCAAACTAGCGGTTTCCCCAGTAACAGCTGTGATCAAAGCAGCTCCGCTCCTGAATGCTACTTTTATAAGATAAAAATTAAAATGTCATCAACTTTTCTGAAGACAGTCGGGTCCCTTCAGAGATACATTCATGTAAAACACCCGCGCCGCGTTTTGATTTTGAAATGTGTAGTGTGCTCATGTTTATTCAACAAAATCAAACACCACAAATATGTATGGGAAACACTGGTAATATATATCAGAAATGTGTTTAAAAATCATATCACCGTTATTGAAAAAAATTATATCGTGATACATATTGATATTGAATTATTGTCCAGCCCTAGATTAGCTAAATAAAATTAGATATAACATTTGGTACTCAGCTCCTGGAATCAAAGATTGTTGGCGTCACAGCTATTTGTAGTCATCTTCAGAGCACTGTTAGGAAGTTAAACAGATTCGAAAAAAATTATATCGTGATACATATTGATATTGAATTATTGTCCAGCCCTAGATTAGCTAAATAAAATTAGATATAACATTTGGTACTCAGCTCCTGGAATCAAAGATTGTTGGCGTCACAGCTATTTGTAGTCATCTTCAGAGCACTGTTAGGAAGTTAAAATGGCAAATTAATGTTTGCGTGGGTTTTTACAGTGATGGCCAAGTACTTGCACCTCCGGCTATTTCAGAGGAGAATGGCTCTTACATAATTTGAAAAAGTTTAAATCAGTTTGGCCAGAAAACCACTTCTTATTTAATGCTTCCTCTTTATCATTAAAGATTGTGGGTTCTTGATACTTTTAAGTCTAAACTGTTTTCCATTGCTGGGAGAGGTGCTCTTTGAGGCATCTTTGCTGCAGTGTTGTTTTCCAGGTTTTAAAAAAAGTTTTTACACACAATTTAACAAGTTGTTGAACAAGGTAAATCATAATTATTTAAATGAATTTCTAGTAAGCTTTGGTTGTAGCTCTTTTCTCCTGACTTGACCTCTAATAGAAGGGTCTAAGTGGAATTGCATGGTTGGTGTAACTAATTGTCTTGACAAGAGGAAATACGTTTTAAATCCCTGGTTGAGCCAAGCAAACAGTGGCACGGCTGAGTGGATATGTTACAATATGGCTGCTGCCTCAGTGAAAAACCAGTTGGTTGAGGCACACCTTTAGGTGTATATGTGTGTGGGACAGGATCTGAGTGGCTTTCCATTAATGAGAATATTTCAGTCAATGACAGGCTCTTAGAGCTGACTCTTACATCTCTGCTTGGATAAAGGGTGTGATTCCTTTCCCAGTAAGCTTCACTTGCATTGTAGACTCTGACCCCATCGCTTCATTGATTACAGCTGCTTGATGTATTGTTTTTGTTCTGAGGTCCAGGTAATAGGTCAGACAGCTCACAGGAGAAAGTTGGAAGAAAATGAAAAATGAATTTGTGAACTCAAGTTTTTTTTTATTTTATTGTTTTGTTTACAGTCAGTTCTAAAAATGAAATGTCTGCTTCTCTTTTTCAATTTATTTGTATAGTTGTTCCTCATCGACTTTGGTCTGGCCAAGAAATATCGAGACAACAGGACACGACAGCACATACCGTACAGAGAAGACAAAAATCTCACAGGCACGGCTCGCTATGCCAGCATCAACGCACACTTGGGCATCGAGCAGAGGTGAGCACTCCGGCACAGAATATTTATTACATTTTTGCTCATTGTGCTCCTGTCGGTTACAAATTTTAGTCAAATTATTCTGATAATAGTATTTGTAATGGTTTAAAATGAACTATTTTGACAAGTAGAACGTTCAAAGGAAAAGCATTTATTAGAAATGGAAATATTTTGGGAATTTAATAAATACCTTTGTCACTTTATTTAATGTATACTTGAGGAATTATTAATTTATTAAAAATCTTACCAAGCCCTTAGCTCTCTGAAATCTTACAATAACAAGCAGCATCATAAATTCATGATCGTGACATTTTGTGATCTTAAGTGATTGATGGACTGTGCTTGCTTGCCCTTTACCAAAGGAGTGGCATGTCGGTGGTTAATTTAATTTAGGGATGGTTTACGCAATCACACCTGCTCATATTCTATGCACTACTTTGCATTTTAGATTATTTTCTTAAAGATCTGCCCTCAAACTTTTTTGGAAGTCGTCTTGCTTGATTTTTAATTTGATTTCATCTTAACAGTCGTCGAGATGACATGGAGTCGCTAGGATACGTGCTGATGTACTTCAACAGAACCAGCCTGCCATGGCAGGGACTGAAGGTAAGAAGTACAGATAATGCAGGTGTTTATTTTTTATTTTTATAAAGCTGGATTTTAGATGGGATCGCTCAGCATGTCTGAGACAGGTTTGTTGAACGTACTTGTTTCTTAGAGACAGATTTATAGTTTAAGTGATATAATATAGGTTCATTTTGAAAAGCATGGCAATAACTTTTCTACACTGTGGTTTGAATGCAGGTTATATTAAGTATGGATGTTTGCTGCTGTTATGTGATTACAGCAGAATACTGCTCAATGTCACTGAATATTATCATCTTTCTTTATTACTGTGGAGGGTAGAACCATAAAAGAATCAACTTAAAATTGCTAGGCAGCATGAAACAGGCCAACAGGTGGTGCCTAAAAAAGTGCTGTAAATCTTCTTTCAGCTGGTTTATTTATGGCCTCCAGCACTGTGGGATTGCACACTGATGGACAGCCAGTACCAGATCATAGTGTGCAACGTTTTCATTTTTGCCCACAGGCTGCCACAAAGAAACAGAAGTATGAGAAGATTAGTGAGAAAAAGATGTCGACCCCTGTCGAGGTCTTGTGTAAGGTATGTGAAATTCTACATCCTCACAGCAAGGCTTTTTAAAAGTCTGCACTCATACATTGTATGCGCATGCATGCTACAAAACCTCTCCTCAGTTTAAAGGTTGTGATGCTACAATTCTCAGGTTTCATGAAAATTGTCATCTCCAGAACATTCAAAACTTCTAAAAAGACTAACTGTATATCAATGTGACTAGAGATGCACCGATTGCCGTTTTCTTGGCCGATTCCAATTTTTATTTATTTTTTGTAAGTGTGACCTGCCTATACCGATTTTTGCCGATTCTAATTTTCTTCCTAAAAACTGTAAATGACAGCATATACAAACAAAAATGTATACTTTTTTAATGCAAAAAAACCAAAACATATATATATATATATATATATATATATATATATATATATATATATATATATATATATATATATAGTGTCTCATATTTTATTCAGATTATCTTCCCTCAAATCTTAAACATGCACACACTACAAGATTTGAAAATCATGGTGCATCACACACTACAAGATATTAAGATCCCTCATGCCAGAGGGAGCGCCTCGCGTGATCTCACACAGCAGCTCGTCAGCAATGTTTACATATGTTAGCTAGCGTGCTAGCAGCTTTCTGCACTCACCCGGTACATTCAAAACTGAGGCGATTTCACCCCAGCGCTTCTTTCTCCTTACGTTTGTGATACGTTTTCGACACATTAATACAGACAGGCGTTTTACTACAAAACGTCAAGAAGCCGTTTCCTCCGTCTCCAACGGAGCCGTACATCAGCTGTTTTGCGGTTGCGCATTGGCTGTGAAAGTACTGATATAATCATATAGCCGTCATCATGACGATTTAAATCCTAAATATCAAACATGTTTGATATGATCGGGGCAGCCCCGATTTGTGTGCGAGCAGATCGGGAGGTGAAAGATTCATTACCAGATAATCCACGCCGAACATCGGGACCAATCGAGGTGCTGGACAAGATTTTTGCTCTGATTCTCGGGAGGGGAAAGTCAGGGCTAAATCGAGCTAAAAATCCTGTAGTGTGAGCCCGGCTTTAAACTCTTAAAAAAAAAAAACTCAAAAAGTGCTCTGAGGTAGAAATAATTTACTGGAAAGGATTTGCTGTAACAGATGTAATTACCCACTGTTTCTTAAGTTGTCATTTTTTCCCACTAACTTAATTAAATGTCATCTTTCACATCAAATTCTTACATTTGTTTCAATTAATTCAGTTAGAATAATAAGAAACTGTAGAGCTGTTACTATTCAAATGAAATCAGTATCAACAATCATCATGACGATTTAAATCCTAAATATCAAACATGTTTGATATGATCGGGGCAGCCCCGATTTGTGTGCGAGCAGATCGGGAGGTGAAAGATTCATTACCAGATAATCCACGCCGAACATCGGGACCAATCGAGGTGCTGGACAAGATTTTTGCTCTGATTCTCGGGAGGGGAAAGTCAGGGCTAAATCGAGCTAAAAATCCTGTAGTGTGAGCCCGGCTTTAAACTCTTAAAAAAAACTCAAAGTGCTCTGAGGTAGAAATAATTTACTGGAAAGGATTTGCTGTAACAGATGTAATTACCCACTGTTTCTTAAGTTGTCATTTTTTCCCACTAACTTAATTAAATGTCATCTTTCACATCAAATTCTTACATTTGTTTCAATTAATTCAGTTAGAATAATAAGAAACTGTAGAGCTGTTACTATTCAAATGAAATCAGTATCAACAAACTCCATCTCTCCACTGCAGGAAACACAGACGCTGCATCTGAAGTGGCATTAGATGTATTTACACAGACTGTTTGGTGAAGCTGAGGTGCCATAAATGCATTTACACTGCAAAAATTTGAATGCATAAAGAATTTTATAAGATTAATGTTTTAAATATTTTTTAAACATACAAATAAGAAATGTTGGGAAAAATGTAATGACAGTTTTAAATGAAACCAAACCAGTAAGTGGCGGCAAATGACTGTTTGAATGAATGAGTCATTTAGTCCTTTATTCAACAGATTCGTTCAAACGGCTGATTCATTCAGAAACAAGGCAAGTGACTACTGTCTTTATGAATGGGTTACTGAAACATTGACTCGCTTGATTTGTTCAAAAACGTGGATTCCTTTAGTAACGAAACACCGCTGTGTTGCTCGGAGACACAAAACAGTTCTGCTGTGGCTTTGTTTGGAACTAGAGGTCTGAATAGAATAGAACCCGAACAGAATTTTTGCGCCGCGGGATTAAATTCCCGGATAAAACGTGGTAGCAGTCGGTAACTGGTGGAATTTGAAAGGGAGCGGGCGGTCTAACAATATCCCGTTCCCGACATCTCTTCAGAACAGCATATCTGCGCTTTATTCTTACTGACCACCGATTCAGCCTGCACTAGGACTGTTATGCACGCGCTGTACGCATGCTTTCTGCGTCACGTGATTAATTTGCGAGGTCTGTACACAGAATGTGCATAACGATGCTCAGAGCAGGCTGTGCCGGTGGTAAATATACGGCCCTCAGACGGAACAGGCTGGTTGTCGATGAGTGATAGAGCAGAATAAGGATGGAGCCAAGTGTGGATGCGCTGTCCTTGAAGGACATTCAACTCGGTTTTGTTTATATTTTGCTTAGCCTCATTTTAAATGATAGTCGTATTTATTTATTTTCTCTGTGACACAGTTCCTACTGTTAACAGAAAAATGTCAAACGAATTAAGTATTTTGACAAGACAAATAAAAATAGCTAATAGCGCTATTTTTGTACAACCTACATTTATTTATTTATTTTTTTCTCTCTCTGCGACACTTTTTAATATTGTTGTAAATGTTAAACGAATTGTATCCTGACAGGATGAATAGAAATATAACTTTTTTTCTTACTGTGTTGCATAAAATATTAAACAAATGGTGTCTTAAGATAATTCATATAAATTCAAGTCAAAGTTAATAAATTCAAGATGCTTGACAAGACGAGTAAAATAACATACAATTTTGTGCAGACTACACTTTTATTTGTTAGCCTATCTCTTTCAGTAGCGGAAATTTAAATGAGATTCTGGAAACAAGATCTAAATTTAGTGGGAACGGTCGGGTTGGGAAGAAAATTATTCTAAGCGGACAGCGGTGAACAAAGAGTGAATATATAGTGGGAGCGGGTGGGTGAGGAATATCATTTTAAATGATAGTCGTATTTATTTATTTTCTCTGCGACACAGTTCCTACTGTTAACAGAAAAATGTCAAACGAATTAAGTATTTTGACAAGACAAATAAAAATAGCTAATAGCGCTATTTTTGTACTACAAACATTTATTTATTTATTTTTTTTTCTCTCTCTGCGACACTTTTTAATATTGTTGTAAATGTTAAACGAATTGTATCCTGACAGGATGAATAGAAATATAACTTTTTTTCTTACTGTGTTGCATAAAATATTAAACAAATGGTGTGTCTTAAGATAATTCATATAAATTCAAGTCAAAGTTAATAAATTCAAGATGCTTGACAAGACGAGTAAAATAACATACAATTTTGTGCAGACTACACTTTTATTTGTTAGCCTATCTCTTTCAGTAGCGGAAATTTAAATGAGATTCTGGAAACAAGATCTAAATTTAGTGGGAACGGTCGGGTTGGGAAGAAAATTATTCTAAGAGGACAGCGGGTGATCAAAGAGTGAATATATAGCGGGAGCGGGTTTGTGCAGAATATAACCTTGCGGGAGCTGGACTAAAAAAATAGCCCTGTGCAGACCTCTAATTGGAACTATTTTCATCAGCGAAATTCAGCATAAACAGTCAATATTGTGTGTCAAATGTAAGTCACTTAATTTTAACTTGTTAATTGAACTACTATTGTATAAAATCACACTGCAATAGTGTTGAAACATTTTGGTAGTGCAATGTTGCGTACCTAAATCATGTATTTCTTTTTTTACTATCGCAGTATGCATCTAATTTTTTTAATTTTCTGTGTGTGCTGTTGTGCTCATTTGTTTTGATTTCTGCACGAGTCTCTCTCACACACTCACTCGGGCTGCGCGAGACTCATCTGGCATGACAAATACATTATCAGTCGCCATTAGTGTGACGTCAAAACAGACCAGCTCGAATTGGCAGACTGACTTTCTCACTGGACTCACTGGTTCAGGCCGGTCATGCGGAAAACCGGCTAATTCCGGTCCCTGGCCGGTCGATCGGTGCATCTCTAAATATGACGCTTGGCCATTTTTGCATAGCTTTTGTGTGTGTGTTTTAAGAAATATTTATATAAATATAATATTTAAATATAAATATTTGTTTAAATTTAGTTTGTCAGCAAACCATGTACAAACATCCAGTTTCTTATTAGAAACTCCCATTCTATGTCTGTCACTCACCACGCTTTTCTGTTCTAGCCTACTTGACTGTAATTTCAGACAGCCTTTTTCCTGCTAATAGTGCTGGCTATTCATTATAATACGATATTCATTTTTTTTTTCTTTGTTCATTTCCTTTTAAGAAATAGCCGGTCAGGTTGACATGACATTTATGGAGCTTGGTAATTTTCTTTCGTAATATGCATTTGACTCTTTCTCCAGGGGTTCCCAGCAGAGTTTGCCATGTACCTGAACTACTGTCGTGGGTTGCGGTTTGAAGAGGCACCTGACTACATGTACCTGCGTCAGCTTTTCCGCATTCTTTTCAGGTGCCTGACCTTTTCTTGCATTGCCTCAGCACTCCCAACTGGCCCAGAACTAGTCACAACTGAGGTCAATTTTTCAAGTAGAACGTCTTGCCAGTTGTGGACTCCTCTTGATTATTTCTTTACTTGTGGTATCTAAATTCATTTGGTTTGTATGGGTATACTCACTCCCGCTTGATCACTTCCAGGACTCTGAACCACCAGTATGACTACACATTTGACTGGACCATGCTGAAGCAGAAAGCAGCACAGCAAGCAGCCTCCTCAGGGGGACAGGGGCAACCGGCACAAACCCCCACAGGCAAGCAAACTGACAAACCCAAGAGTAACATGAAAGGTTAGTAGCAAAAAGCCAAGCGACGTTTTCAGCACAAAACAAAGACACCAATTGCTCACATTTGTAAAAACAAAAGTGGATTTGCAACATTTGCTCCCCAAAAGAGTCATGAAATGCAAAGAAACGGTGTTAGTTCAAGGATGCACCCCACTCCAAAAAAAGAAAAATTTCAATTGGTATGTCTTTCAAAAGCAAAGACGTCCTTGGGAAATTTGACTACTAACTTTGTACCAAAAAAATGTATATTCTTCTCTGGGACAAAGGGTTAGCTTCATAATCTTTTCTGTGAATGTCAGATAACCATCCCTCAAATTAACCCCTTTCTAAATGGGATGCTCTATTTGACAGATTTCTCCCAATCATTGTTCCTGGATCTAACACTTGTTAGTCTTGATTATATTGGTCTCTTCAGTACAAACATGGATACGTGGGAGTGATTTCTAACCACAGTCTAACCAAGATCATGTCATTTACACATCTCTTCATTGACTCTTACTGTACTTTTCTATATGTTTGGTGTTGAGTGAACTGTAATGTTGTTCTATGTTCATGTGATGACAGTGATATTTTTTTTGTGGTTCTAGTTGTGGATCTTCTTTCCAGCAAAAGGCGTAGCCCATTCTAGGTATATGGACTTGGACTTGGAGCACTTTTATTTTTCGTCCATCATATTATGTTTCCTGTTGACGATTAAAATGGATGTTAATGAGCATATAGAGTCTGTTTCGCACTACATTAGCGATAAGTAGTCCTGTTCAGATGGTGTAGGCTTTAATGTAGTCTAAATCTGTTGTGCATCTAATGCAGAGTAGGCTTGACACTTGGAAGGGCACAGTTAAGTGGAAAAGCTGCTGTCACTCCTCTTCCACTGCTCTGTCCTTTAGTGCCCTGGACTACAGCAGTATTCGGTTTGGGTGTTTATCACTATCAATGGTATACTTCTCAGTTCTATCAGAGTTACCATTGGTGCTTAATAGGCCTAAATTTGTCCTAAATTTAACATCTGCAGTCTGATTAAACTACTTTGTGATGTCTACAGGATTTATCAAGTAGCCTTGTTTGTAGGTTGTGGGAATGTTTCAGAGTAGATTAGAATTTTCTGGCAGTTTGATATTTAAAGTTGTATCGGGCTATATATCGTATCTATATAATAAAATAAATGGGATGTCTTTTTTTTTTCCGCCTGTAGGCCTAAATGGCCAGAGGACCGGGGGTTTTAATATAGTGATGGTGTGCCATCAACCCACGCAGACAGCTTTTTTCCCAGCTGAGCTTTGTGATCTATTTCCTCTTGTGACGTTATACATGGCTTTTAGAGTCTTTTTTTTTTCTTCTTCTTATTTTCAATCCCAAGGTTCAAGTTATGTTCTTTGTTGATAAATGCTTGGTAAAAATCAGGAAGACCGTTTTACACTGAAGGTTCATCCTGAATTAAGGCAGAGAGCAACTGCTGTTAAAAGTGGCTGGACTAAGAATAGCATTTGCTGATGAGGTGGTATTGGCCTAATCCTTTGTGCACGCCGTTTTAGTTTGATTGCACCCCATCCCCCTTCAAAAGCCAGGATGCACCATGTACCTTGCTTAGAAATATGATTGTAACACTTGGATTGCGATAATTCCATTCATTCAAAGATTTATGCTTCTTACAGGCTCGAGAAATAGAGTACTGTCCCTTTAAGATCCCTTTGGCTGAATAGTCGCAGCCAAGAATTTAAGTGGTGACGCTCAAGAGTGTTTGAGCTTGAACGAACTTTATTTGCAGGGGATTGTTGGTTTCTTGGTTACCGGCGCAACTTTGTTAGTTCTGCAACAACAGAGGCCTGGAGCTTGTGCTGCTGTATTGTAAGATTTGTCCTGAGAGTGCTGCGTCAGCATACTTCCTCACGCTGAATGAATGGAGACTTGTCGAGCATTTTATTTTCTTCTTTTACCCTCGTCTTTTCCATTATTATCTATAGAAATGTCAAGGCTGCAGTAACTAAATGTAACTACTCTGCAAGTAGTAGCAGCTTGAACCTAACAATCAGGTTACTTGGCAACTGGTTTGAATCATCTGTCCATTGTGGATTACTTCTAAATGACACAAGCAGTGACATGAATGGGCGACAACTTGGCAAAAATACTTTGTCATCTTTCTGTAGCTTCTAAAAGCCTGAATAGGAAACGAGTAAATATTATGTTTTCCAGGTATGATCAATTTATAAATTTTTCAAAAGAGTAATGTTGAAACTGCAGTCTTAAAACAACTCTTTAGCTTTTATTCCTTGTCCATATTATCCTGTTTGATTTTGTGCTCCGTTTGCCTGAGGCAAAAGCACATTGATTTTTAGAAGCAGACCACAGTTGAGAGTGCTGCACTGAAAACATTTCAAAATACGTCACAGGTCTGTCAGGGTTTTTTTTTTATGCTCAGGATTGTGATTGTACATGACTTGAAGCTCCTTGTGAGGTTAGCATTTCCATTTCCAAATCGAATCTGTACCCGTCTCATTTGTCTCAGTCAGTTTAATTCACATTAACTTAAAGGGATAGTCCACCCTAAAATCAAAATGGTAATTTACTTACCTGTGTGACTTTCTTCTGTGGAACACTGATATATTTCTCAAAATATCCCTCTCGTCACAAAGCGTGGCACGAACCCAGACACTCTTGTCAGAATGGAGACATCTGAGACATTCATCCTTCAGTATTTTTTTCTTCCTTTCCTCAAGCAAATTGAAACATCTGAGATTAAATCTTTTTTTTTTTTTTTTCAAATGTATCCAAATAATTAAAAAGGCAAACATTGGGTTTTGTTTTTCTTTTCTAAAAAGGTAATTACAATTCTGCCTGCTGATGTGCTAGAGAGCTTCTAATGTGAAGATAAAAAACGAAACAAAAAAAAGCATTCTAGTGACTACTAGGTTTCTCTTTAGAACGCTGCATTAACTATATTGTACTGACAAACCTCAGAAATGGCTGCTTCAGTTTACTAAAACACAATGCTTTTTTTTTTTAATATTCAGCACTGGATTATTAATGCATTTGTGTTACTAATTATAAAAATTCATTTTTTTAATTTTAGGGCAGCAGCTTTGTCATTCTTAGCTGATCATCTGTAGGTGTTTCAAATCAAAGCATAGTCCCAGTTTGCCAGTTATTAAATTAAGTAAATGACAAAGTGGTTTAAAATGTGCTGAGAATAGGTCTAAAATGGGACACTTCAAGGAAATGGACGAAGGGGGGAGGGGGGTTCAGATCAGCACATGCACAAAAGAGCTGCTGCCTCATGGGGAGGGAATAGGAAGGCTCAGAACAAACCTGTTCAACAAAGCGTCAATATGTGAAGTTTAAACCCAAAACTGAAATATAACTGCCTTTATATGATGTAAGTATTTGTATTCTACAAATAACTCCTTTTAAGCACGTTCTTTGTATAGCCTTTGGTGTATTATGTAAAGACGGCCTTCATTTATAAAGTATGAATGACTTCTTGCCCACTGAAGGCTCTGCTGAAGGACTCTTCCCTTTATGGAGGTGAGTCAAGCGCCACGTGACCGCACGCTGTACTGCTGTAGCTGTGGAATGTAATCCATGCTACATTAGCACTTAATCTACCTCAGTTCCTCTGCATCCCTCTGAAGGCATGAAATCGATGTTTACAAAGATTAACTATGTTCCATTGAATGTACTAAAGAGAATATCAATTATAAATAATGAAATAAAGTAACTTTTGGGGAGGGGCAAATAATGTGCCTCGAAGTTAAGAAAGTAAATATATGTATATTTAAAACCTTTAAATGTGTCTATACAGTTTGCCACTATCAGGACAATGATTATTGACGTTAAGCAATTTTATTGCATTTAATATTTGTTTTAAGCGTTCCTTTTTTTCTTTCATATGCGAAAAATCTAAAATAGTTTCTCTGATGGCAGTTTCCCAGTGCATCGTGCTAGAAAAAGCTATTCAAATGGCCATTATAATGAAGTTTGGCCAAGAAAATCCTTTTATTGTTTTATGTGAAGTTCATATCGCCGTCTATGAATTCTGTGCTTGTAAAGAAAATCACTTATATTCTGTATTTAACCTCAGGGTAACAACAAAGTTGCTACATTCATGCTTTCTGATAAAAGATCCGGAGAAAACAAAAAAGCGTAATGTCTGAATGTAGATGTAGGATTTAAAATGTCCACGTGTCATGAGGTCAATTCACATCAGATTTAGGCTAGGCTAATCTCATCCAAACAGCAGATTAATCTCTCAGAACTACTGGATGAACTGGGAGTGGTCAGTCCATATACAGCATGACACATGCCTCCTGTAGGGCATCTATCTGCACATCAATGAGAACACACCCTAATAATAAACACCGAGAATGACACGCATTAAATCAATACAAGATCCATTTTTGTTTATTCTGGATTTTTTTGTTGATTTGGTAAGAAACATTTCTTTAAAAGTCACATTTTCATGAGGGGCACAATAACGCAAAACGTTTAATATTCTAACACCCTATATTTATAACTTTGGCTCATACACCCAACTGCCACAGCTCAGAATATTAAACCAAATACTTAGTTCTTTCCCGTAAATGCCTCGGGCAACGCAACACACGCGCCTCCTTGTGGCATTAACGAGACACTGCATCGGTTTCGATGAGCTTTTGTGACACACAGGCTGCTTCAGAAAAAGAGCACGCTTCATCCTGTTGTTTGAGCGTCAACTAGTGTGCGGGGTCCAGTAACTGTACGCTTACCACGAGGGGTAAATGAAAGCCAATCCATTTGAAATAATATCAAAGTGTTGTAACACAGAACTGCGCTCACTGTCTAAGTGTAATTACTGGAAAGACTGTGCTGTGGGAAAAGGAAGAATTCAAAAGACCAGAGCAAACAGTGTAATAATACCCTTTTACTTTAGGCGATACAGTTTAGTTAATTCATACAAACATTAAACAAGTAGGTGCCGTTTTGGCAGACAAAATGGTAATGTTCCTAACGAAATCGGGAATACGGCGTCCAAATATTGAATTAGTGCGTCTCGTGGAACTGTAATGAAAAGTACGGGACACCTTCACACGGTCCGACACACCCAGCACGCCAGTGCTCTGGAAAAGCCCCCAGCATGTGGTGGCATTCACCTTCTCACACATTTCCGACACACCCTGTCTTAAACTGGCATTTGCTTTGACGTTTCGCAATGCACAC